CAAAATGTTAACAGGTTAGTTAGGATAAGTCGAATAACTTTTTTTTTATTTATTTATTTACACGTATACTTGCTTCGCATTAAGCATTATGCACACATGAGTGAAAGCATCAAACATTTAATTTCACATTTAATGTTCTTCAGGGTCCAAGGCATTACGGAGACTAGTATAGGCACTGTCACGAAACATTAAAAGTAAAAAAAGCAAGAATACAAAATTAGTACGAAATATCATTTAATGAATTAGTAATTACAATTCTAAAATCAGATGTCTTAGCAATTCAAACTATGACTGCAGGAAAACAATTCCAATCAATTAAGGTTTGGGTTAAGATGGAGGTAGTTGTGCTGCAATGGGGGATTCTAACACACATACTCATATATACAAATAAACAAACCCCCCTCCCCCCCAAAAAAAAAATAAAAATATATATATACATATATATCAGGGTGTCGAACCGGAACCGAACCGAACCGAAAACCGGAACCGAACCGGTATTTTTTCCGGAACTGAACCTGAACCCGAACCGTTATATTGTTATCGCGATGAACCCGAACCGGAACTGAACCGGAAAAAAAATAACGGTTACCGGCTCATGTCAAAACGGTTCGGCCACGCGCTGTTGACAATGAATGTGCTATCAATGCAATTTGTTTTTTAAGTGCCGTCAACTGACATACACCTCGCTTACATATTTTTCTTCTCCACTCAGTCTTAGGAATATAAACGCTGCATCCATGAATCTTGACAAACGCTGCATCCATGAATCTTGACATCTTCCGTGCAAGCCGCTGGTCGCGGCTTGCACGGAAGAAAAAAAATTGGAAGGCTGTGCAAAAAAAAAAAAAAAATCGCGTCACGGGATTTTTTTTTTTTTTTACAATCTCGTAAATCCTAAATGCTGCTGTGTGCTCATTTCATAACACGTTTCTAGAACGCGCGAGTTCTTGAAGCTTGCTTCCATCGGAATGAGAAAAGAAAAGGCTCTGGAGTTTGATAATAATGCATCCGGTTTCGTATAGGCACTTAGAAGCTAACATATTTGTGAGACAACGAACTCTTCTATTTTAATATTTATCCTATTACGTCCTTCTGGCGTTACGTTCGGTGAAGTGTTTTTCATATTCCGTATCTTGTTTAATGAAAACTTCTTTAAGGGTCTAATTTGAGTTACCGAAGGCTAGTTCAAATAAAGAAAGCTGTATTTTCTCCCCACTGTTCCTTCAATTGCTTACACGCCGAGGTGGCGGGATAGTTAGCGAGTTCTACTCGTAAGTGGGTTTGTAAGGAGGTCGCGGATTTTACAGCTACTGCGTCGGACCCAATTAGATGAAGTCCGAATGCGTAAACGTCGGTGAGGTAATCTTTGAGTGCACATAAAGAAACCATTCCTGGTAGAAATCCCTGAGCCTTACACTACGATGTATCCCGTTTCGTATGTGCTCATTTCAGATGTTTTATTTGTAATTTATTTTGATGTTGCAATTTGTCATTTATAATTTCCGAACCGGTTCACGAACCGGTTCAGCGCCCCGAACCGGTTCGCGAACCGGTTCGCGGATCGAATTAATCGAACCGGAACTGAACCGGAACAAAATAAATTTACCTGAACCTGAACCGTAACCGAACCCATATTTTTTTCGGTTCGATACACTGATATATATATATAAGGAATTTTTGCGATCTGTTGTAAAAATGATCAGCATCGGCAACAAACAACTTGTACCGGCAATAATTCCAATCACTGATAGTTTGAACAAAAAAAAGAAAAACAATTTGTATGCTACCGACAGTCTACTTGTTTTAAGAATAATCCAACCTTCATGATGCATGATGCGGTGGCAGGATGTAGAGACCTCTTTCAATTCCTGTATGTTCATAATACTGGGCGTCGACGTTTCAGTAATTTGCTACCAATGGCAATGCAGTGACAATCAGTTCATCGAACGAGGTTCCGTCGACAGATCGTTTCATTGACAGATTGTTTCAGCTACAGCTCAGATTCGATTTTTTTCTGTAATGCTGCATGAGACTGTAGTGCACAAGTTGGTCAGGTGGGTTAACTTTTTTGTAATGAGCCTCCGCAGACTGCCGCCGCGGGGCGGCGTGAACGGAGGGGAGAGGGGGAGGGGGGGGGGGGGGGTTAACGCGCACTCCAGTGATAATAATAATAATAATTATAATAATAGTTTTATTAGCACAAAATAATTCACGTACATTAATTACTGCCTCACGAAAGCACTTGCGTGCTTGTGTGTGAGAACAGGCAGTCCATAAAAGAAAAACAAATCAAACAGAAAAAGAAACAAGCGTAAAATAAACACATCTCAATTTTGACACCACATGTTACAAACTTAGTTTTATGTAAACATTGCACCTTACCAGTGATACACGCGTGACGACGAAATGTCCCTACAGCGTGCAGTCCGCGTAACTGAGCGTCGATGAAACGTTCGTGTCGACGAAGCGTGTGTCCATGAAAAGTTGTCCACGAAACGTAATTCCACGAAATGAAATTCCATAAAAAATAAGCAGTTATCAATTTTAAATTTGATAACTGCTAATTTAACAGAAGCCAATACGTTCACTGTAATAAAATTGGCTCTGATAAACTACCCGTTACTTCGGGGGTACCCCAGGACTCCGTGCTTGTGCCACTTTTGCTTTTATAGTTTAACATAAATGTCCCACTTAGAATGTTCACAGATAATTGTATTATATATAACAAAATAAGATACCCCAGCGACAATCTTAATCCACAGGAAGCTTTGACTGAATTGGTCTAAAACGCGGCAAATAAAGCTAAATTATGATGAGAGCCGTCATGACAGTCTCGTGTAAAGAAGAGCCGATTCAATTTAATTACTTACTTGAGGGGCAACCTCTCAGACGAGTCGAGGAATACAAATATTTATGACCTGTTTTTTATCAGTAAACTCAATTGGAACCAACACTTGGAAGCGATTATTAATAAAACGAGGGGCACTTTGTTCGCGTTGAAAAGGAAATTCAAATATGCTGATTCAGGCACTAAAATTATTGCCTATAAAAGCTTTGTTAGACCTGTGTTAGAATACGCCAGCTCAGTGTGGCACCCTTACACGGACAATGGTATTCTCAGGCTTGAAAGTGTTCAGAAACTAGCTGGTAGGTTTATTTTTAATAATTTTCGTACAGAAACCTCATCTACAGTACTGATTCTCAGAGCGCAACTTCAAACCCCTTAAACAACGAAAAAAATTGATAGATTAAAAGTACTGTATAATATGTTTAATGGCACTATTCAAATAGAAAGCTCTAGCTGCTTAGAACCATTATCCACAGGGTCCCGACGTCTAAACCACACTAAAGCGTTTAAACAACGAAGGATTAAGAAGTTTTTTTAGATATTATTTCTTTCCTCTGACAGTTCAAGATTGGAATGAGCTACCAAACGACATTGTCATCTTAACACCTGTTGAAAATTTCATTACAGCTGTGGAAATTTTACTTACACGAGTTTTTCCTTTTTTTATTTCTATCTATAACTGTACTTTTTTCTGTCGTATGGTGTACCCACCCCTACTAAGGCTCCTTGAGTGGATCCAGTAGTGTTTCCAAATAAATAAATAAATAACGAGTTTTGGCAAAACGATAGGGACCCGACACAATGGCCTCCAGCCAGCATACAGTAGCAACTGGACGGCGGACGCACAGCTAGCATTAATGTCGATACAGCTCATTTCATTTTACCCATCGAGGCGAAGTACGATAGCATATCGTCGCATATCACATTCCATTGGGGCAGCTGTCTGGTTATCGGGTTTTCTTTGTCCCCTTTTATATTAGGCAAAGCAGTCGCGTTGTGTCACACACGGAAACGGGAGGCGAGAACAATAGGGGCTCCGAAACTCGCTGACCAAGATCACCATCACCGTTCCGACGAACAATCAAAACAAGAAAACAAGAACAGACAATTTCAACCCCCCCCCCCCCCCCCTTTAATTCCGGAAGTCGCCGGCCCTAAGAGTTAATGGGAACAATCATACAGCGTCAAAAGCACACCAATCTGGTGCTCGTCATGATTTTTGTAGGTGTTCTATCATCGCTGAACTATCATGCACAAAGAAGGAGCAGTGTAGTCCAACCCCTCCCCCCCCCCCCCCCCCCCCCCACCACCCCCAACACGGGTCCATATCACAAGAGCGAATGACATTTTAGCGAACGGCGACATTTGAGCGAATGGTCGTTTTAGCGAATAACGGGGGCGCGCGTTAACCCATCCGTCGCGCTGCGCTTTACGCCGCTCCGCGGCGACAGTCTGCGGCAACTCGTTACAAAAATATGAACTCACTTGGCCCACCCGAAAACGCCGCTTCGCGGCGTCCGACTATTCGCTAAGAGTAAAGCTATACGCACTCCGGAGTGTGCTTCGCGCGGAAATGGCTATACGCACTCCTCCGAGAGATCATGCCGCTCGGGCCACCAATTCGAACGGCGCGTGAATCACTGGGGCGCTCGTTAACACAGCCCCCCGCCTGCGTTCACGCCGCTTCGCGGCGACAGTATCGGCTGCTAATTACAAAGCGTAACCAGTACACGCCGCTTCGCGGCGTCCAGCCGGCAATCCAAGCCCCGCTGTCCCCGATCGCACCTCCGGAAAGGGAGTCCATACCATTTAGTTCTGCAAAGTTTCTCGACAACATTCGATTTTTTTTTTTTTACTGTTCATCGCAAAAAAAGGAAATGTCGTAAATATCGCCAAATGCATCGACAAAACAAAATGTTTGAGAAAAAAAAAAAAAAAAAGTAGGCCCACCGCGGATCGAACCCGCGTCCACTTACGTGTGAAGCGGACACCCTAACCCCTACGCCATGGCACCGCTTAGAAAACTCGTTGTGTCCACTCTCTTTATACGAGAAAAGCGGAGTGCGTATAGCCATTTCCGTCCGAAGCGCACTCCGGAGTGCGTATAGCTTTACTCATTCGCTAAAGTGTCCCCCCCCCCCACACACACACACACGCACTCCCCCGAGAATATCCTACAGAAAGTAAAATCCTCCCTTCGTATTTCCGATCCTGGATAAACCCTTGCTTTCAGGCCCTCTAGGCGGAAAACAGTACTGCTCGTACTTTCTCCGGCGAAAACGCGGCTGGAAGTCGGGTGAAAACAAAAAGGTGCCCGCTGCCGTGCGAAACGCGGCTTCCTCGACGGAGTAATAACTACGAGGAACACCACCAGCTTTAAGCAAGCTTCTTCTCGAAATCGTGGCTCACGGCGTCGCGAAAACGCGGCGCACGATCCACGCACGATCAACGAACGAGACCGGCGAAAAGCGAACGCAGCCACAGCATGCCACAGCGGGCAAACGCAAGCCTTCAGGCCGTCGTTCGTGTCTCGACCGGTCTCGGGGCAGGCTACTACACGTTTCCGCGAGCGAGCGAAACCGACGAATCGCTTCGCAGTGCGTCACGCCGGCTTTCTAGAACGTTCTCGCGGACGCTCCTCGTTGGGGGCTACCGGCCTACCGGCACCGGCGATTGCGGCGTGCATGCCCAGTCTCGTTGTCGAGTGCCTCCGTGTCCGTACTAGTATACCGCCAGCAATGGGTCTGCGCCTGCTCGCATCTTCTAGTCAGACGATGCCGACGAAAGACGGCGGCTTGTCGGGGCCGTCGTTGTCAGCATCGACAAAGCCGTCTTCGACCACGAGGGGTCCGTTTTTGATCACCACGGTGGCGACGGTGGACTCCGAGAGCGGGACGAGTCAGGTTCGAGAAATGATTCGAAGGTGAGTGCTTCAGTTTTTTTAAGGAGCGCGTTGGTATTGCACGCAATTTTTACGAAAGAGTTCCCCATGAAAGACAAAACACGGACAGCACGTTTTCCCGACTTTCAGCACACGTGTATTTTCTACAATTTTTACGAAATAGTTACACATAAAAGACAGAACACGGACAGCACATGTTCCGATCTCTCTATAATTTGTTTCACCGTAAAGCCTCGGTCTGGAGACAGTCTGGAGGCACTGTCGGAGGCGCATTTCTTCTTTGTAAAACGCTCCTGTCATATTTCTCGTACAAAAACAGCCCGAGACATGTTCAGAGCAAACATATACATATATGCGGCAGACGTGCTTTGGACATACTTCAGACTTCATCATGTCTGCAGCCTTTTGTATGATGTATGAACAGTGTGATAGGGTCACAAGACGTACTAATAACAGACTCACAGTCTAAAAGCGCTAGGTCATGCTTCTCATTCAGAGCGCTTGGTTGGTTCAGCCGGACTCATTGATAGCATACGCGTATGAATGAACGACAAACACCGTAGCGTTGCGCTTTCCTTTTTTGCACGGCTTTTTTCTTTTTTTTTTTTTAATTTTAGGAGGCTCGTAACGTTGGATGCGCTCCGGCTTGTGGTGAAACAAAAGTATGCGGAGCGAAAGTTCGTCTGCTTCTTTCGCGGGAGCTGCGGTGACGTCAGAACGACACTGAGCTCTGATTTGCTTTGATTGAAGGGATAGCGGTAACCCTACTATTTTTCTCAATCAGCCAATCGGAGATCGGCGTTCTGACGTCATCGCAACCCCTATGCAAGAAGCAGACGAACTTTCGCTCCATAGCCCGGAGGCAGTGAACAGTAGAGGCGCCTCGGTCGGCTGCTAGTCAGCGCGGCTGGTGGCCAAAATGGGGAACCTTGGGAAGGCCTAACCACCGAGCGATTGGGCCCGAGCTCTGCGTCAGAGTTCGGCACGTCACTCTGACGTTCGAGCTGGAGATCGGGTGCAATGTGCATTGCGGCCGCCGCGGGCCGTCTCAGAGTTTCAATAAACCCGCATAAGATGGCGCCACCTTTCGAGCCCAAACTTCATTGCCCAGGGGTATACTTCAAATTAAATCAAGTTTATTTCGTTGTCACATTTTACATGACAACAGGGACTCGCACAAAAAGCTGCTAAAGAGCAGCTTGACAAAGGTCCCCGCCCCCGTGCAGTTCGCGACAGTTTTAAACACAATTTAACAACTAAAAATTGGACTACCACTACACAGTGTACAGAGACGAGTACAAACCAATGCAAAGCCTGATTTATACAATACTAGGTTTGATGCAAACATATAGACGAAAAATACGCAGGCCAGTGAAAAACACGACTAATTAAAATCGTACATAAAATAATACATCCTATTCATAACAAAAACATCAGAAGCATTCAAAAATCGCATAGAAAATTAAGTTCTTTTAATTCCCTATGTGTCGACAGTCTGAAATGAAGCGTCTGATTTAGGTAATTTGTACGCGTTGGGCGAATCATCCAGGGCTCATTTTGTCTTAGGTTGCGTAGGATAATGCGATGTTTCAGGTTGGCTAGTTTAATAAAATGAACATTATTGTGCTGAAGAGCCCTGTGATACGTTGACAGAAGCTTGTAAGCATACATTTGCTCGACGGTTTTTATGTTTAGGGATTTGAATAGTGGTTTAGTGGGATGAAGAAATTGATCGAATTCATGAAATTGCACGTTCTGCCTTCTTTTGTAATAGATGCAACTTATTTAGATTACTTATTGTTGCGGTGCCCCATATCAGGTTACAGTAATTTAAGTCAGAACAAATTAACGTATTAAATATAGTTAATTTAATTCAAGTAGGAAGTAAACTTTTCAATTTTGTGATTAGGCCTACATTTTTAGATATTTTTGCTTGCACATAGTCTATGTGCGCGTTCCAGCTCATATCACGAGAAAACCAACACACCCAGAGTTTTAATACAGTCTACGAACACGATTTCTTCATTGTTTATTGTAAGATGTTGTATGATATTTATTTTCTTATTTCTCAGTGTCGTGTACGGGCGAATTCGTCTGCAGTCTGATGCACGTAGTTCGATTCACCTTGTAGTTCGCAGCGCTCGGCACTGTTGTTTGGCTCAGACGGTTCACCGTCACATATCGAATCGCAATCGAAAAGTGTGTTCAAATTTCAAAGCGGCAAACAAATAAACTATCACAAACTTTTTTTTTAGCTAGTTTGTTGTTTGTTTTATTGCTTGTACGTACCCCGCTTTGAAGGTTCGTTTAAAAGCGATGCCAGTTGCATATTTTGTGAAATTCCCCAGTGTGCTAACCCGCCGCCGTGGGAGGCCACATGGATTGAGAACCCTCGCTGCTCGGTCTGACACCAGTGGCAGACCGAGCATGTAACGTATATGTAAATGACATTGGGAATATTGACCAAACAGCTAAATTCATAATATTTGCTGACGATACAACATTTCTGTATGCTGCGCGCATGCATGGGTAAATTACTTTCAAAATGTAATTTAATTACAACTACAATTACTTTAAAATTAGTTTAACTACAATTACAATCACTAGTACGTGAAAAGTAATTAATTACTATTACAAACTACTTTTAAAAAGTAGTGCAATTACTTTACGATTACTTATTTCTGAGAGCGACCCGACTTGGGCCATATAACTTTAAGCGAGTTGTATAGAATGCAACGTATTTATTTGTTCATTCCTTGCCCCAGTGTCTGAGGAGGCTTAAGCATCCCTGCATAAATGCCACGTATTGTACTTTTATGAATTTTGTTAAAATCGTGATAGAACTTGACAGTTTGGGGCAGTGAAGTACTACGTTCTTATATTTTTAATAAATAATAATAAATTAGTTCCTGTGGTGGAAGACGCCAGACGGCTAAAGAAAAAAAATTATGTTGACAGACTTTTGTCAGCCAGGAAAATAAAAATGCGACAATTATAAATATGAATATTCTACAGGTATTTATATAAAACTAAAATCCACACGCGCTAATACGACCACATTCGCATACAAACATCATGGTATTGTAAATTATTTACATTGAGTTGAAATTATAATGGCTCAGAAATGTATAAAAACCGAATCGGGGCTTCCGAATCATTGGTGCCAACATTCACAGGTGCGATGTCAGCCTCCAAAATGCTTATGCAATGAATATCAGAAGTAAAATTAACAGGAAATGACCTTTAAAATAATACAAAGATACAGATAGAGGGGCGTATAAAACTGGCAAAAAAAAAAAAACATAGACAATTAAAATTCCCAAGCTCGGCTAAAAGCTAAAGATCAATTTTTTTTTTTTTTTTTTCAATATTTTGGCATGTTTATGCAATTGTTTTCTGCTTGCTCCGCAGACGGCGCCACATGGCGCCGTTGAGGTAGGCTCCAAAGAGGATTGTCTCTTAGCCCGCAGTGTAAGCAACAAAACAACAAACAACGCAATACTGTTTTTTGTGTGCGCGTATGTGCGTGCGTGTCTATGTGCGTGAGTGTGTCACCGAGCGCTAGGCCGCTTGTGCAAGCGCTGAGGCTTTTAGAAAGGTGCCGTCGGGTCCACAAAGTATTGCAAAAGTAACTGTAATTGTGCCTGAAATTTTGCAGTTACTGACGCCAAAAAGTAATTAAATTAAAATTACAATTCCTTTCAGCCTAAAGTAATTATTACAATTACAAATTACCACGAAAATTAATTAAATTACTATAATTCAATTACTGTAATTGAATTACTACCCAAGTATGTAGCTGCGGACGATCCTGAGGAGCTTGTGTCGAAACTAAACCTATTGTTAGGCCAGATATTGGCATGGACAAAAAAAAAAAAAAAAACGCTTTAAAAATGAATGCAAGTAAAACTAAAACCGTACTATTTCAATCTAAGCATAAAATTCTCCCTCCAATAAACACGAATACTTTAAAATCGGTAAATCTCGAATTAACTGATAATTTCAAAACACCCGGTGTAGTGTTTTCTCGGAATATGTCCTGGGATAACCATATCGAATATTTAAATAGAAAATTGCCAAGAACTGTGAGAATTATGTTTCGGCATCGGTATATAGTTCCTACATTTGTTAAAATATTATTATACAAATCATTATTTCATTCCCATTTAAATTATTGTTCGTTGGTTTAGGGTACTACCACTGCAACTAATCTTGAGAAAGTGCACCTGCATCAAAACATAATGTTGCGAGTAATTGCAAACGTACCTTATCTTTCGCACGCGGAACACCTGTTTAAAACTTATAATATACTCAGTATTCACAATCTTTATAGCTTTAGGCTATCCACAAAACTTAGAACAGAATTTTGTTTATAAAACTTCGTCCCTGGTAGAGTTGTCTGGCTTGCAACAACGTATCGTACAATACTAAATTCGTAGTCCAGATTACTGGCATGCACGTACCAACGTGTCGCCTGAACACTGGAAAACAAATGCTAGCACACCGAGTCCCAAAGCTTCTAAGTGTATTGCGTTCTGAAGGTATGTTTATAGATAATTTAACCCTAAGTGAATTGGCGCTGGCATGCATGCTTTTGCATATATGAATTGATGTGATAAGATTTTTTTTTTTTTCTGTCTTCGTTTAAAGGTATGTTTTGTGTTGTTTTACGAATGTCGACTAATGTGGTGCTCAGTGCCTTTTTTCTATTTTCTTGAGGGTTTTTTTTTTTTTCGTATTCATTGTGATTGTGTACGATTTTGTCTGGGTTATGATATTTCCGAAGCCTCGCAGAATGTACTGGGCCGTGAACTCGTCAAGCCGCGTAGCGTGGCTTTTTTTTTTTTTCTTGGCTCCACCATTATGTGTAATGGCAATATACTGTTATTAATATATTATATATCTTACCCTTCACTAACGCAGTCAGTTTCGCGTATTCGTATTAAATTCTGATTAGCATTCTTACTACATGGATAAGTCGTCCCGCCAAAGGGGAGATACCGAACTTTTTAAAAATAGTT